GCCAAAGACAAACAACATGGGGCCAAAAACCGACAACAAAAACGCGACAAAACAAAAATAAACAGCGAGCGCAAAAAGCAGCGAAACCGAAACTGAAACACGCACAACAAATTGATAAATATGCAAATTTAATAGACTCACAATCAATTTGCATAAATCTTGGTGGCTAAAAATAAATAAATAAAATTGCAAATGCAAATGCAAAAGAAATTAAGGGGATAGAAAGGCACCAAAAATGGGCGAAGTCGACCGTCGGAGTTGCTTTCCCTTGGCATTCAATTAATCCGCATTTAATTGGGGAAAAAGTATTCAGTTTTGAAGGCAAATTGTGAGTATCAGTGAATCACTGAGAAATGTTCTAAGCAAGTTTATAAATTCAAAATATAACGATATATATATCATTGTACTAAAGTCAAGACAAAATACGCTGTACATTTACTTGGTATTATTTTGAGTCATAAAAAATTCGTTTGAAATATTTAATTATTTTTTAACATTCAATTAAGATACCCCTTCTAGATAAAAACAATTAAAAGAGTTAGTTTAGTAGTAACACAGAAATAAGATAGTTTTAAAACATGTTTACCCTAAAAAACCTTTTTTTTAATAATACTAAACTTAAGGAACTTTTCAACAAATCGTAGAAGCTAATAATAAAAACGAAATAAGACCACTGAAAGTAATGAAATTGAAAAGGTCAAACCGTAACGAATAGTTTTTAGTTTTATAGCAAAACATTTTTTTTCTACAAAAATAATAAAGCCCATTTTCACGACCGCTGGTTGAATTTAGCGGCGAAAATATGCTAAATGGAGTCTCAACCAGAAAGCGAGTAAAACAAAACAGGGCAACAGCATAACGAAAACGAAAACAATAACAAAAACAACAATAAAGAAAACAAAAATAAAAAAAAAATAAATAAAATAAGGGGAAAAGCGAAAACAGCTTGAGCATCACGCCGTAACTGGCAATTGACTGCGAACAGTTCTGCATATAAATTGAGCAGATTGAGATGCAAAGATACGGGCTGCAGGGATACAGAAACATGGATACAGATACGTACATGGACACGGATACAGATACACTTACAGATACAGATACAAATGGGGGGTGGGGGCCTAAGTGACAGCCCCGAAAACGAGATCAAGATTTGTTTCGTTTCCATTTCCGTGACCATTTGCTCCATTCTCCCTGGTGTTTATCCACCTGCCACTTTTCCCGCTTTCCCTCTGCCGCTTTCTCCATTTCCCCGACTTTCCTTCCGTTCCTGTGCGTGTTTATTTGCCTGTACATTATTTGTACACACGATTGCTTTTCGCATATTAAAGACGAATTCATAATAAATACAAAGGCATTGCCATGGTCATATCTCGAGCAATAATCTGGTTGCCTGCTGAGACTTCCTCCTTATAGATATAAAGCGTCCTTTGTTAACGCCAAGTAGGGAAATCAACTCTTTATGGTGGAAAAATGTTTGCGTCGAGATCGAAAATGGCTTAAAGGGACCTTTGTCCATATCACAATGGTATTTTTGACATTTTTCTAAGTTTTTATAAATCCACAGATAATTTTCCTTTGCTATTTGGAAAAATATTTTTTCTTTTTTTTTTGACATAGGATAACAGGTAAGCAGAAAAAAAAGCAACAACCGTGCATTTGTGATTAGAAGAAAAGCCCAAAGATTCTCAAGTTACAGAGGCTGTCCGAAATGTCAATCAAAAATTGAAATATGAATCGTAATTAGGATTTCCTTGGGAAAAAAAGCTGATTAAAATGGAAGTTTTTTGCATTATCCATGGAAATAACTTTAACAATATACAAAAATTATATTGAACCATGAAAACCTAAAACTACAACCGCTCTAAGTCTTTACTTTCAACGGAGTCTTTATTTAAATCATAGCCATAAAATTAGTTCATTTTATTCGGTTTCCTTGCCTTATTTTATTTGAAAATGTAGCTTTTTACGGGCTTAAATGGATATTCCTATAAGGAAAAATGTGACCCACAGAGGGAGATATATATATAAATCTTTAAGGTCTATTCTCGGCGGACTTCTACCCAACTAATTTCGAGACGCCAAGCCGTTCAATTACAAAAGTTTTGCCAGCCAAGTTAATAACATTTATCGCTCCCCATAAAACATATCCTGTTCGGTGTGTGTGAGGGCTTCGAGGCTGTGGAAAAGTTGTTGCAACAAGTTTAACCTTTTTTCCGGTTCGCCAAGGCGACTTCCTTCTTGGCCTCGCTTGGCGCTTCCGGTTTTTCCGACCAGCGAGCCAACATTGACTTATCCGCCATACAAATTGAACGCACACTGATGCACTGGCAGAAAATATTCGATTTTTGACAAATTATGTAATGCTTAAAGCCACATAACGCAATAAATGAATAACTAATAGTTATATTATTTTATACTTAACACTCAAAAATAAGTTTGAATTCTTTTAACACAGTAAGAAAGGTTTGAATTTCCTTTAAAAAAAAATTAAGAGTTCATTATAATCGGCAAACAAATTAACAAATATTTTAACATTTTCGGAATCATTTCTTTTACATGAAAACATTTAATAGATAGCCGAATAAATACTTCAAACGCCTTTGAAAGAGTCAAATCTTTCATCAAATCAAGTCGACAAATCCGGATTGCTTACACTTTTAACAATTCGCGTAATTTTTGATTAGTATTAATTACCTCTCAGTACTTTTTCTAACTGCATATCGAAGCCAAAAGCTGGCCCTACTTTACCTAATAGTTCAATAGCAATTCCTTTAAGTACTTCAGCGTTCTGTGCCACCGAGCACTTGAGTGGATCGAGCGGGGGGTTCGGGGGGCAGGACCTTTCCAGGAGCGGTTGACACATTCCTGGTGGAGTGGAGTGTCTCCCAGGATTTCGGGTCTCCCAGATAACCGCAGCGATGCCCACAAATGCATTTCTCAAATTGCATTACGATTTAACGATGGCTTCTGCTTGATTTCCCTTCTCCACCATCCATTTGCAGTAGGATAATTCATAAATAGCTTTAGATTAATCTGTTCCGGTCGAAATTTCCGCTTTTGATTTCCTTGCCGGGAAAACTGTTTTCGATTTGTTCCCATAAATAAATATTACCTTTTTATATTTGGACTTAAGGACTTCGAATTTTGATTTAATTCATTATTTTTGGCAAAAACCCAAACAAATCAATTGTAATTGTAAAGTAATTATCTCTTAAATATAAATTTAATCCTTAATATTAATATGTAAAAGATAACCCCTTTGTAAAGAAAACCTCCAACAATGTTGTCAGACACTAAACTAAATAAATACAATGTTTAAATATAGAACCTGAGCTTGGAAAAAAGGAAACCAAGCTTCCAGCTTAAAGGAATCTCCCATAAAAATATTTAATTTATTGGTTCTCCAGGATATGGCCTTAATCAATGCGATACTAAAGCACCCACTTAGAGCCCATAAATAATGCCAGACATTCGCTAGTCAGTCCTCAAAGGACCACGACCCATAAATAAAGAGCAAAGTCCGCGCCGAGCACCCAAGTATTTCTCATTCTGAAAATCTTTCACCCTCACTGAAGCTTACAACTCAACTTGAGTTGAAAAATGGTTGAAATATTTGGCATCTAACGGCATTTTAAAGAGCCCGGAACGATATGCAAATGGCGGGGGAAGAAAAAAAAAAAAATCAACTTCGAGCAGGTGAAAAAAAAATTACGGAAAAATCGCATGCCTATGCATCGTTCCATTCTGTTTTATGGTTCATAAACTTTCGCTCCTTGGTGAGTGCTTTTTGCCCTTTTTTTATGGGGCACGTTGAATAAAAAACTGATTTGTTTTGCTCCCCTTCAACGTTTGATGTTTGCCGGCTGTTTCATTTTTTTTTTTTTTGGTTGTTTTGGCTGATTTCAGCCATTTGTTGCCACCAAAATGTGGCTCAGTTTTCCGGGCTAACATATGGCACTCACTTCGGCACAATCAACATCATCATCATCGGCATCATCATTATGCTGACGAGTTGTTAATGATCAACATAATGACGACACGAAGCGCTTTGGGCCAACAAAGTTGTTAACATAAAATGGCTCGCTGCACACATGTACACCCACAATTTGCTCAGATTTCCCAAGCATTTACTGCTTGTGTGTGTGTGTGTGTGTGAGTGTGTGTGTTTAACCACTTTCACCTTTTATAGTCACCATCTGTCATTGCAGTCGTTTCACCTGCGAAAAAAGGTGAAGGGCGGTTAAATAAGACTCCAACGAAAGGCACGTGGAAAAAGGACTTTCAATTTCCGCCACAAACATTTTTTTACAAATTGTATTTTTAAGCTGGGAGACACTTCTAAAGGTAAACATTTAAAGCTATTTTTAACAATTCTTATTGAAAAAGCATAAAATTCTATAATTTACTATCTGATAATTTTGTTAAATAATAATTTGGAGCATACAAAAAACGAATTCCTTAAATGAAACCAAACCATTTCAATTCTCTGATTTATACATTTCAAATACAAAAATAAAATAACATTTTTTTTCTACCCTTTTAAACTTTTAATAAGCAAATGGATAACAAGCTATCGATCAAAATTTGAATATAATTTCTTTCTCTGCACCAATTTCCCGGCCAAAACTTGCAGTCAAAAAAGAAAAATAAAATAAAATGTGAAAATTTCATTAGATTTTGCATTTGAAGAAGGTAAACGGAGGAAGAAAAAAAATACCACCAGAAGATTGAGGCGTTGTTTGTGCTCCGGGGATGAGACTTAGCCAGAAACTTGGGACCTGGGGTTGGGTAAACTTTTCATGTTTTCCTTGGGTTTTCCCCAGTTTTTTCGGGGCTTTCATGCCGGCCGCGGGCGATGGATGATTCTGATTTTGATTTAGCCCATGTTGCTGTGGGTTACTTTTCAATGTAAACAACTTTCCCTCTCCCCTTCGATGGGATTTTCCATGATGAAAAGCAGGCGTTTTCCCAGCCGCCTTTTTCTGGCAACCCAAATCGGATATAGGGCCTTCCATTTCCCACACGACAAGAGTCGAAATCAAAATTTCGTGTCACAGGGAATTTTATTTTGGCAAAAATTCATAAACATGACTGGTCTAAAACTTGGAAATTTCTATACAAAATGCATACCCTCCAAAAAGAAGCGTTTCAAGGGGTTGAGCCAAAGAAAGTACTTGATGAAAGGCCAACCGCTGGGAATGGAAAATACCCCTCGAGTGGATTTTAGTGTGCATCCGATAGTCCTGCCGATTCCCAAAAAATTGGAGTCCTCCGTTGGCTGGGAACCGCTCTCAAAACACGTGATTGGCAGCTTTCAGTTGGAATTCCATCGAGATTCGGTGAGGGAAAGGCTCGAGATCAAGGCCACATTGCCCAGCCCAAGAGTTCCGGAGAAAACGACTCCGAATCCGGAGGATGAGCAACTCTACGAGCTGTTCGTGTGCAACAGCCAGGGCCAATTGCTGGCCAAGATTCCCTTTCTGGAGAGCGACTACCGACGTGCAGCCCACAAGGCCATCGATTCCATGTCCATTTAATCAATCCTGCCATAACAATATGTATCTTCTGAAAATCACAAATTAAAAACCTGCCCATTTTTGCCCGTTAATTAACATTCTGCCTACGCCCGTCCAAATGTCAGCCTTCAATTGCCAACTATCCTGACAGGACTCTGAGTATCGATTACCTGTTTACATCTCCATTTTCATCCCAATTTACTGGGCTTTTTAATTGCCCAAAGTATAGAGATATTGCGCCTCAAAAATGTTATTTAATATTATAATTGTAAAAGCTCCATTATGTGAATAAAATTAATTCCAATGGTATAAATGTATGCCATTTCTCTGAGAAATAGTAAATAATATTCAAACTCGTGCCCACAGCCCGTGGTTATATTAAAATATTTAAAGGCTGTCTTAATTATTCTGAATTTTTCCGCTTCATCCCCAGAAAAACTGGGGGAAATATCAACAAATCCAAAATGTAAAGTCATAAGATTAACCACTTTAATAATCTCTCGTAAGCGATAATAGCAATTGGACGGGATCTGCGGTTTCTGGGAGAGGGGGGGGAAAGGGGCCTGAAGGATGCCAATAATTCCGACCATATATCCACTTGCCACGCACACACACACACAGGGGCACAAAAGTGTGTGTGTGTATTCTGCATATAAGTCGACAGGAACCCTAAGAACATGCTATCAATTTTATTTTTATTTATTTTGCCTCCCTCCACACGCCCATTTTCCCTCGCATTTGTTTGCTTTTGGCTCAGGCTGAGCATATTTTGTAGCTCGTAAAAGTTTTTGATATAAAATGTAAACAAAAGCGAAATGGGACACGGGGAACACACAGCCACAAAACACTGCGCGAAATAACTGATATAATTTTAAATTAGCGAATATATAAGCAGAGTATCATACCAATTTGTATATTTAATCACAAAAATTATTGAAGACAAATTGAACTAAATCAAAATCCTTGCATTTGCATTCACTGCATTTGTTTTTTTTTAAACTTTTTTTATGAAATCTAAATTTTTAAAATAAAATAAGACAATAAGATTTAATATTTTTGTACCAGCCTTGAAAAAGGCAAAACAAATCAAATAACAGTATTCCATATTATTTATTTCATTTAAATTTCATAAACTAAAACTTAGAAATGTATAATTTTTGACATAAAATAATTCATTGCAGCTCTGCATTAAATTAGTATATATATTTGAGCTTTAACATATAATAAGCAATGGTTACATATTAAAAATATTTTATTGTATTCCAGGGTTAGGTCATTTTTCTCTCAGTGTTCGCAACCCAAAATTATGGCGCGTTTTGTAACCAGTAAAAGGCCAAAACGAGTTTCATCTTTCGCTTGCTTGTTTTTGTTGCGGCTTCTGCTTTTTTCGTCGCCCCTTTTCCGTTTCCCTTTTCCGCCATTTTGGACAGCCATTGTGGGTGAGTGTGAGTGAGTTACCGTGCGTGTGTGTGTGTGTGTGTGTGAGAGAGAGCGAGTGAGAGTGTGTGTTCAACGAGCCCCTTCAATGCTCGATGCTCACGCACTTGCACGTATTAATTAAAAAGTTCAGGGTCAGGCCAAGAGACAGACATCAGCTGGCCGAACAAGGACCTAAAACGAAAAAAAAAAAATTAAATGCTGGTCGAAACGAAGAAGGTAGGACGAAAAGGGTCGAAGGGGGCGTAACCCCTGACGTGGTTATTTTTAGAAAGCCCCGGCAATGTTAGTCAAAAATTTCTGTGCTGCTCCTGCATAATTTGTTTACTCTTTTGGCCATTCATTTTGGTACCCTGTAATTTTGGAAACATGTTGGGTGCCCCTCGATGGGCAACTTTTAGCTATTTGACAGAAATTAAGATACAGAGTGGTGTGTAGGCCATAATCATATTTTATAATTATTATATTTGGGCAAATCTGCGCTTCAATACCTTAGAATCTCTATCAAACCATTTCCTAAATCTCTCTCCTATTAAGTAATTCTTTATTTAATTCTAAAGTTTTAATTTATCTAACCAGAATACAAATTGGATAAAATATAAATATTCTATTTTATATTACAAATGCAATTCGGCTTAAATATTTTTAATACTGAATATTGAAGGGGCAATTCGCAGTCGAAACATGAAGGCCATTTTGGCAATGTTCGTTGTACACTAGTTGACTTGCCATTTATCAGAAACAGGTCCCCTGCAGGACTTTCCCAAAGCCACAAAAAAGAAAAAAAAAACAGTGAAAACTGCCAGCAAAACCTGAAAACAAAAGCGGCAGACACACACACACACACATACACACCCTAGATGGGGAGGGGGGGTGGAAAATGGAAAGGGGGTGAAGGTGGGGGAGGTCCTTGCGGGTCACGGAAACTGTGCGTAACTATAATTAATTTCATTTTAGACTGGTTAGCAAATAAACGAGCAAACGATGCGGTTCGTTCACTGGCAGTTTGTTCAGCTTCCACCTCTCTTTTTTGAGCGCCCAACCACCCACTCAGCCACCCAACCACCCACCGAACCACCCGGAAAACACACCCACTACCGGTTGAGACACTATTTTTGACATCGTCCTTGTTGCCATGTTGTTGGCTTTGCATTTTGCCAGCACTTGACTGCCCAATTTTCGGCACAGCACCACCACCCAAAGAACACCACCCAAAGAACACCACCCAAAGAACGCCGCCCCAAAAAACCACCCACTCATGGCATAACTGTTGCTCATATTTGCAAGATTTCATGTCGAGTCGATAGACGAACGTTGAAGTCCTTTGAAGGACCTCAACTCAACCCTTATCAAAAATTCAACGGCATGATTTTATAACCCCGATATTATTGATTCAACTTGAATGCTGAATCATTTTCCCGGATTTTCTTTGACCAACACCAAAAGAGAATCTTGACCCACAACCTAATCGCCTGAAACTCATTAACTTTCGCTCGCTGCAAATATGTTGTTTCATTTTCCTTGTAAGTCCTTGCTGTTTCGTTTTTTTTTTTTTTGCTTAATTAGTAAGCCCCGGTTATTTTTATCTTTAACTGGGGATTTTTCGACTGAGAACTTTTGAGAAAGTCTTAAGAGGCTTTAAATATTTGTATGAAGCATATTAAACAAAACACAAAAAAAGGGTAACTTATTTGTGTAGGACATTAAAATGAATGCGATCAATTTTTTTAAACTGCCTTATAATTTTTTAATCAGAAAATGCTGCAAAGGAGAGCAAGTCAAAATCATAGCATCCTCTTATATAAACTTAAGCTTATACATTCTAAAATATAACTTTATATTCTGGTGGCAACTTTGGTAATGTCCGCTCTGTATTTTAAAACATAAAAATTATAAAACATAAAATTATTAATTATTATTATCTTTGCTGAAAACTTTCATCATAAAAAATCTATAAACACGTCTTGCATTTTCTGTGAATCAACGTTAAATATAAAAAAAAGAACACATCTAAAAAGATACTACTTTTAAATGAGCAACTTTGTGGGCAAATATACTTTCTAGTTTCTAAAATGAAATTTCATGGCACAAAGTTGACAAATCCCATTCATAATATTTGCACCAACTTTTATAGTTTGATCAATTTAATAGCTACAAATGTATATAGAGGGAGTTTGTCGGGCTGACCTGGCTAAATAAATAAAAGTGGCGGAGCCACAGTTGGTTGGGCCGTAAGTCATCCCGAGATGATTCCATCAAATATGCATGGCCCATCATCATCATCATCATCATCGGATCCCAACGAACGGGGCCGAGCTGACCATTTGAATTATGCATGCATAGACGGTAATAGTGGGAGGGAAAAGTGGGCGGAAAAAGTGGGTGGTACAAAATCGGGAGGGAAAAGCAGTGGGGCGGGAAATGAAGGGGTTGTCAGCGCTGGAAAAGCGCAGCATGGCGCCTGCCAAGGAAATTAGATTTCCCAGCAACAATGCGCCCCGTCGGTGTGCCACAGTGTGTATCTGTGTGTGTGTGGGTGTGTGTGTGTTAGCCAGTTGGACAAAACGGCTTAAGTGTTTTCCCAGCGCCTTTTCACCCGATTTGCATAATGGTCGCCGCGGTCGTCGCCTGAAAAGTATGCTACAACTTTTTATCAACTTTGTCAGCGGAAATTATGCTCAGCACGAGTCGCGGTGGTGGTGTTAATGTGTGTGTGTGTATTAGTGTGTTTGTGTTAGTGTTAGTGCTCACACATACACAGGTCAGCGACGGTTCAATATCGCAAATGATATATGTGCGAGTGGCCCCTATAAAAGTCGCTTTAATTATTTATTTATTCAAATGGCTGGCCGGGCTTCTAAGCCGAAAAGCCTTTTACAAAGGCAACCAGAGAAGAGGAAAAGTCAGGAAAAGGGGGAAAAAGAAAGGAAGCGCAGACAGGGAAGAGGGAAAAAGGGGAAAGCGGAAAAAGGCAAAGGCAAAGGCAAAGGCAATGGCGGAGGAAAAGCATTTTTCCAACTTTCTCCAAACGTTTCCTGCAAGAAATTGAAAGTGGCACGCGCAAATTACTTAATCCGACTTTCCAAGTACTTACTGTGTATATATAGGTATACATATATATACAGTAAACTCTTCCTAAAACGAAACAATCAACACCAATAAACAATATCGAAATAAAAGACGTATGACACATTTAAGCGCCATTAATGGCATCTTTAATTATAGAAAATCAATTAAAATTTGTAAAGCAGTAATACAGTAATGACATCTTTAATTATAGAAAATCAATTTCAATTTGTAAAACAGTAATACATTCCATATTTATTTTCTAAAAAACTTGATTGTCTTTTCTCAATCTCCTTACTTAAAAATTTAATGAAAACCATACGATAATATTTTAAATAATTTTTGAAATGAGCTTAGGTCAGCGGAGTGTTGCTTTTTAAAGCGTTCACTGTATATGTTAACAAATATATACAAGCTAGGGCGGAAAATGCCTACACGTACTTTCTGGTCCTTTGATCTAATTTACCAAGCATTTTCAGGTATTCCAACTTTGAATGCCAAAAACGAAACCAAAGATGACAACAACAAGGGCTGAAAAAAATGCCGAAAAAAAACAGAAAATGAAAACTTTAGGCGACGACGAAAATGAAAATGTTAAATGAAAATGGCCCCGAGTGCCGTCAAGCTAAAGCTTCTCCACTTTTCACGTGTCTCCAGTGAGTCCTGGCAGTTAATCAATGAATAGCCGCACCCAACTGTCCTTGGAAGCTGGACAACCACCCGGGCCCAAAACCAACGGGACTCACAGGACGAACAGGACTTACAGGACCAAACAGGACTTACAGCTGGACCCCCCCCTCGCAATTACATCAAAAGGAAACTGTCGGCAGAGAGCCCAAGTAATATTTCAAGGGGGCTGGCCGACAGACGCTCTAAAATTAACTAAATAGCAGAAATCACCCAGAACCACCCCTCGCACCGCATTCCACATTCCAAACTCCGCATTTTGCACCACTGGGACACAGAAAGTCACTTTGGAGGCAGGAAGGGAATCAAAGGAAAGACGTCCAGGTGCCAACGTCCGAAATACTCGCCTTTTATTTCTATTGCATTTTATTGCCAGGACAACAGTTCACAAAAAAATAGAAATAAAAAAAAACTAAAAGGAAAACTGAATGGAACCGCAAAACCGTGGCTAACGTAAAATGCTCACCATTTAACTAAATTGTTTCATTTAGCGGTGGAACAGAGTGGAAATGGGGGAAGAAAAAGGGCAATTGCCGCGGGTGGGGCGATAAATGAGTTCTCAAATATAATACAGATTAATGGAGTCAGGGGATTAGGTTCATCAAATCCCACAGAAGTTTACCAACTTGTTGTGGCAACACGAAAATCAATATTGAAATACATTTTCTTATAATAATTATTACTTAAAGAAAAGTCAGAAATGTTTTTCAAGCTAATCGTATTATTAAATGGTTTACAACTTTTTGCAAAAGCTTATGAAAAGCACTGACTCTCAACATTTACGTTTGTGGATTAAATATAGAACCTGGGAAAATAACTTTTAATTAGCCCGCAGTGTTGAGCAACTTTTTAAGGAGTTTTTGAATGAACTTTGCAGAAAATTGCATTCGGTTTAGGACTGTCTGTGGCAAGTGGAAAAGTGGCAGTCAGGCGTTGTGGAAAATGTGTTTTTTATTCTTCATTTTTTTTTGCTCTATGAACAGCGGTGTTGGGCAACTGGCTGATTGGAAATGAAACGGAGGAGAAACAAATGCAGCCGCCCAATTTCCACTCATCCACTCCTCCGATTGCCGACCCCATGACCTCGACTTCCACATCGACTTGGACTTGGACTACGACTACATTCGTGTCCATGGACAGCTGCTCCAGCTTAGCCGCAAACCGGACCAAAGGACACGGGCAAAAGTGAGAAAATTGAGTTGAAAATTGTTCGTGGCACACACTTCACAGGCAAACGCAAATTGACAGCTGTCAATCAGCCAGTCGCCCACTTGAGCCTGCCACCAGGTGCCCATCCGCCATCCCTTCGAGTCCTTCCTCCCGCAGATCCTCCAGTTGACTCCTGGAGGATAGAGTGACGACAGAGCCTGCAGGTTGCCAGCTGCTCTTGTGCACTTCAAATTGATTAAGCTCGGAGGATTCTGCTGCTGCCCCGAACTTTTCCCAAGTTTAAAAAGGCTCACGGGGGAAATCCTAAAAATTTCACAAGCGGAAAGTACCCTTACACTAGCTAAAGATTATTATTCTTAATATCTTTAATATCAATTAAATTAATTACTTACAAAGAAATAACAAATCTATAGCCCCAACAAATCGCCAGAAAAGAATTTCCAATCTTCATAAAAATTATAAAATATATTTATAAATAATAAATAATTGAATTATTTCAGTAAAAATAAGCTATCCTTGCCAAATCGCTAATGCTTATAATAGAAAATTAAAAATTACTAAAAATATAACTAACCCTAAAAGATTTCTATTAAATTATTATTGCTTAAATGGAATGCCAAATCTGATTTAAAAATAAATACATTAATTACCAACGAAATAATGACACTTTAAATGTGAAAGGCAGCTCAAAACAAATACATTAATTACAAGTCGCAAGTCCTTGGAAATTCCGGCAAATTCATTTTGACACTTAATGGTACAAATTGCAGATCGTCAATTGGAATGTGTGTGCTGCGTACTTATTGGTTTTGAAATTGCTTTCCCTCGAGCATTTCATATTTCACACAGAGCTGGGAAAAAAGTAGGAAACTTTGGTGCTTGGAACTACTTTGGCCAAGTGTTTCATTGACTGGCGGGGTTTCCCCACTCGGGAAACTTGAGTCCGGACTTTTATGAACCTGCCACACACTCGACAACTTCCGGTGCGGTGTCCTTGTCCTTTTACACAGGCACACACACCCGCACACATACACACTCCCTCCATGTGGAGGGGAAGTCCAGCCGTCTGGCAGTTATTAAGTTAATGGCCATAAACTTGCGGCCAAATAAGTTGATACTCCATTTTGATTGCCTCTGCGGAAACGCCTTTGAGCATTAATTCATCTGGATTTCTGCGTCGACCGTTTCCATTTGGCATCTGGCTTAAGTGCAGCCATCTGCTGGCCAGAAACAGTGCAGGCTCAAGCTCAACCTCAGTTTTTCCAAGCCAACAAACACAAGAGTCAAGTTCAATGAAAAAAAAAATCAATAAAAACGAGAGCGTGAACAATATTTAAACTATATTCGCAGGTATATACATAATTTTAATTTGAATATTTTAAAATTAACTTCGGACTTAAACTAACTTTTTCTTAGAACATTTTATCACAAAATTAGACAGCTTACTAAAACCAATTCTTAAGCTAATTTTCCTCTGTGTATTTCCACCTTGCCGAAACACAATGCTGTGTGTAAGCATTTTCGGTTTGGCCAAATAAAAAAATGAATTTCTTGTGCATTATTAACAAGCCAAATATAAGTTGCTACTTATATACTCAGTTATAAGTATCAACTTATATTGTGAAACTCTACCAAGAAACTGAGCATTGTTACTTGTACTTATATTTCTGTGGAAATAAAACACAAAAACGCAGTTGTTTTGGACAAGGAATCGGTCTGTTGCCCTTCGATTTTATTTGTATTTTATTTTGGCAACGGTGCGTATGATGGATTTGACCAATTAAACGCAATTCAAAAGGAGAATATATGCAAGAAATGATCACAAAGCAATAAAAGGAGAGGCAAAGGAATATTTTAAGTTGAACAACAAATAGGTGAATGGAAATCTTAAAATAGTCCTTACAAAATAAAAAAGGAATATTTTAGGAAATATGGCAAAGAGGATTCAATTTTCAAGTAACAAACATACATACACTTTTACATTTCCCTGTTTTACTTTGTTTACTTATTTCAATAATTTCCTTTTTTCGTTCCAATAAGTATATCAAATAAATATCTAGTTATAATGCAAATATTGATAATTATAATTACAAATTATGAAATATATATTATATACTATATGACCCCCTACTTAACCTGTAGTTTGTCCCATTTAGTAAATCCCAAGCCCTTTAGTAAATTGAGATTTGCCCACCATTCGATATATATGAGCCCCATCCAATGCGTTTTAAACCACCAAATACTATTTTCTTCGATTTTTTTCCAGTGTATCTCTATGTGTGTGTAGCAAACCAATCAATCAGTATCCCACTCCAAAAAAAAAAAAAACCCCCGCCCCATTCAATGTTAAAGAAACCAATACCAAGACCTAATCACCGCACTTTCGGCTAGCCGAAAACCCCGAAAGAAAGTGCAGCGCAATTTGTAAACGAAAAAAAAGGATATATAGGAGGATATATGACCTGCTAAGAAAAAAAAAAAGAAAAGAAAGAGAGGAGGGCCGCAGGAGCGGCTGGCGAATAAAAGGATACCGCTCACTTTCGAGGATCGGCGGGCGCTGCCACAGAAACCGGAACATGCGCCATGTCAAAACTGCGGCATTACCGGTCCATGGATCAGCCCTGCAGCAGCACCTCCGTGGTCATACGCAAAAAGTTAGCAAGCCAAGCAAAACATGAAATGCGCTTTCACTTTCCCACAAAAAGCTTTCCTCTCGAACACCTCTACTCTACGCTTTCCTCTATAACACAATACATGTATATTGCACGATAAAAGCAGAGCAAGGACTCTCACCTTGGAGCTTTCACGTCCTTAAACATCCTTTCACTGCATGCCGCACAGCTTTTGGAACTTTCACAGCCTTTGAACCTTCACAGCTTTTGGAACTTTCACAGCTTTTCGGACTTTCTCAGCTTTCAAATTTTCACAGCTTTCGAACTTTCACAACTTTCCTACTTTCCTTTGGCAAACTTTGAGCCTTTGGCTTTCGCATCAAGCTCTTTCATCAAGAAAAGCTTTTTCAGCCAGCTAACAGCCGATCCAAAAATAACATCTGCCATTCAGCCATTCTTCTCCGCATGACTCTGTTCATTCTTACATTTTCCGATTTTCCAATTTTCCAAATTTTCCTTACTTCTTTAATGTCGCATGCCGACTATTAAATATTAAGCCATGCATGAGGTAAATTTTTGTATTTTTAATTGTACTCACTCCAGATTTGTATCGTTGCAGGACTATGACAGCCATTTGCTTCGTGTGCAACCTGCCCATCATGTCGCACCAAGTGGGTTTGGTGTGGCAGGGCGGCAACGGCTGGGACGATCTTGTGCGCGAACAGGTGGGTCTCCAGAATTCACAAAACAATATCAATACACTATTTTAATACACCCACAAGTGAATGAAACACTCATGTGCAATCTACGTAAAGTTCAAAGGAATTACCAACTCGTTTGACCTTCTGCAATTACTTTAAAACAAAAATCTTTCATTCAAAGTGCAAGCTTATTAAGTTACGTTTGAAAGTTAACTAAAATGAAAATGGGTCAAAATTTTGATCAACGTTAAATCGAAAATTTTGAATGCAAATTTTTTGAGAATCGAATCACAAGTCTTTAGAGGTATGCCACTTTGGAATCGGATTAAATTTATTGTATTGATTTTATGCAATACAAAATATAATAGTATTAGTAGTTTAGTGTGGTATAATAGTATTTGATAATATTTTCATAATTTAGACAGAACAGTTGAAATTTAGAAAAAATTAAAAAACACTGTTAGAACTTGCAGCCCAGATTGTTTTAAGACTCAGGAGATTTCTTGCATATTGTAAAATCATAAAGAAAGTACAATAGCATGTGATAATATTTTCACATTTAAGGCAGAATATTCAAATGTTTTGCCTATGTAGCATATGAAATTTGGAAAAGAAAATTAAAAAAGACTGTTCAAACCTTGCAGCTGGAGGAGTCCACCATTCGTCAGCGGCTGGGCGGGCGGCGGGACTCGGCGGCGCAGATCACCACCCCGCCGAGCACCTCGCCGCCGCCGGGACTGCAGCGTCGGCGGCGCAGCTCGCTGGCCCAGCTGACGGACATACTGCGCGAGTGGAGCGGCGGCACCAACAAGCAGCAGCAGCACCACCAGCAGCAGCAGCAACAGCAGCAGCAGCAGCAGGCGTCCCGCTCCAAGGCGCAGCTGAATCGCCGCGAAACGCTGGCGGACCTGGCCCGCAGTCTCCCCTGGCGCACCTCCACCACCACGGACGCCAGTACGGGGGCGGGTGGGGGCGGGGTGGGGTCGAGTGGTGGCACCTGCACCACCTACATGGCGCCACGCAAGCGGCGCGAGTCCTCGGCGGACTCCGGCATCCGGAGCATGAGGTCGCGGCGGGACTCCAATACCGCCGAGTTCGTGCGGCACTGGAACAGGAGGGAGAGCGGGGCAGTTGAGGAGCAGTCCAGCAGCTGTGTCGCCGTGCCCGTCGTCGTCGAGTGCTCTAAAAGCGTGAGTATACATGAATGGCCCCGAGTGTATCCCCAAATCCAGCAAGGATCCACCAACCTGGGCATTTAGATCAATAAGTTGGCATACACACAATGAGGGGCGAAGGCAAATGCACTGCAAGGAAATCCAAGCTAATTACTTGCGAACATTTAGAGACAAAAAAATATATATTTGATAGATCCTTCAATAAATTCCAACTATAAGGTATATGAAGCCCATAACTTGATATTACAAGTATATTGAAATATTTGGAGATATCTTGATACACTTTTAAGAAAAAGAGATGTTTAATTCACATATTATAATAAATATAATATTAAAACAATTTGCGAAATATTTGAAACTAATTAAAAGTCTTTGCTAATATTTCCATAACAAAAGCTTCAAAAAATAAGTAATATATATTTACAAATATTTTAAGAACTTGTGAAAATTCTGCTTTGAATTATTTAAAACCAATTGAAAGTCTTTGCTAATATTTCCATAAACAAAAGCTTTAAAAGAAGTTTAATGTATTTACAAATATTTAAACAAATTGTGGAAATGCTACTTTGAATAATATCCAAGCGAGTGCATTTGCCTGATGTTCTTGAGGGTGGTGCACCTGCACCTGGCACTCCACCTGCGCCACCACCTTGACCACCTTGACCCCCCACCCCTAACCCTTCTCCATCTCGCTCTCTCTGTCTCTCTCTCTCTCCCAATAAACCAATCAACCAATGAACCCACCAACCACTCCACACCGAACTCCGAACCACCAGGCATCCCGGCGCGGATCCGGTGAGAGCTACCTGTCCGGCAGTCGGCGCGACAGCAATGTGGCCGGGCGGGTGACCACGCCCCCGCCGCCGGGCAAATACCAAATGGCCAAGAAGCGGGACTCTTTGGCCGCCCCCGAATTCCCCAACTTCCGGCAGGAGCAGCGACCGTCCACCAGCTCCGCCGGCTCCTGCTCGGACCACTCCATGCCCCTGATATCGACGCACTCGAGCACTCACCACCTCCACCTGGCCCACCAGCAGGTGGACTCCGCCTGCCAGGCTCTGCCACCGCCGACGATCATCACCAGCTCGGTGACGCCGCCGGCGACGAGTCCCACGGCGCCGAAGGGACGCCGCGACTCGCAGACGCAGTGCGGCCGGGTGAATCGGCGCGACTCGAAGGCGGGCGTCAGTCCGGAGCGGGCGCCACGCCTCCAGCGGCTGCAGCGCCAGGCGACCGCCTTCGACGAGGGCTGTCTGCCGGGCGGCGGCGGCGGCGCTGGCGGCAGTAGGCGTGGCTCGCAGCCCGCCCTCAGCCCAGATCCGCCGGACGATTGCGGGGAGCGGCGAACCTCGCGGCGGGACTCCCTGTCGCCGGATAGTGCATCGCGGGGCGGTCGCCGGGATTCGCGGACGCACCTTTCGCCGGACCGCAGCCACGAGCGGGACGGTAGTCCGCGACGGCACACCCTGCGCCGGCAGAGCAGCTCGGCGGCCCGCTCACCCAGGTCGCCGGACTCGAACAGCTGCTGCTCCTCGAGAGACCCCAGCCCGTGCTCCCGTCCGCAGACGCAGACCACCGTGGAGCAGAACCAGCGGCCGGCCATCCGGCGGCAGTCCACCACCGAGGAGATCCTCATCGCCCGCGGATTCCGGCGGCAGTCGACCACCGAGGAGATGATCCGCTGCCGCAACTTCCGGCGACAGAGCTCCCAGAGCGACGACGTCTGTCGGTGAGTATATATCTCTATATATCCCGATTTCCATAGACAATAACAGCTATACTCTAGAGAATCAAAACCGATACAACTTGCCAGTACTTAAACTCAAAAAAGAATTCGATTTTATTGACCCTATATTTTATATAAAGTAAAATAAAATAAAATTATTTTCAAAATCATTTTTGTTTATTAAAAAAATGTTGACATAAGATCCAATTATTTTTTTAAGTTCCAGTTTTTTTTTATGCAACTGCTTAAAGCGTTTACGTTGTCTATTTTTCTTTTGACTAACATTTTGACTTAAGAAGAAATTTACAAAATTTATAACAGCAAAAAATAAACTTATTTTTCTAACAATTTGTATATACAATAGCTAGATAGTTTTATTGAGACAAGAAATTATGACATTTTTATAATTTTAAAAAGCCTTTTAATGCCTTATATAAGATCTTACCCAAAAAGTACATAACCGCAAGGATATAGTTGAGAAATCCTAATAGTTAGGCACTTATTTTCGCAGTTATCGCGGATGGAGTAAAATAGCTTTAACTAATAAATAACGAGCAACCTTAAATGAACTCTTACGCCAAGAACTTATGTCATATTTGAAGTGTTTCTATCTGACAAGGACATACAATTCAATTATCCTAGTAATAATCTGAAATATATAATTGTGTAGGCCAATAATCCTTATAATATCACATCTATATCCCCAGTTATCGCGGCAGAAGTAAAATACATTTAATAAATAAATAAGGAGCATCCTTTAATGAACTCTTACGCCAAGAATTTATGTTATATTTGAAGTGTTTCTATCTAAGAAGGACATACAGTTCACTTATCCTAGTAATAATCTGAATAAAATTTGAAATATATATCTTTATAATATCCTTATAATATCACATATGTATATATCCCCAGTTATCGCGGCAGGCGTGACTCCTCGGCGCAGATAATCGATGGAACCATCGGCACCATGACCGTGGAGACGACCAGTACGTTCTTCGACTCCAGCACCCAGACAGGTGAGTCCTTTTTGTTTTTTGAATTTGCCGCATCCCTTGGTCCTGCCAACCGGATGTGGAGCTTTCCTCGTGGAAAGTTTTCCCGCCTGAGCTTGCCGAGCTTTGGGCCATTTCCCAGTGGTTGTTGGGGGGAAAGCTGCGCACAGCTGATGGCAAACCCGAACAGCTGTTCGCTGGCCAGGACCTGTCCACTCGGCCTCGTTTACTTGGCGTCCTCCGTCCGCAGGATGCCATTCAGTTGGTGTTGAAGACGCAGCCGTGCCACATGCCACCGCAACAGCAGCAGCCAGTCGAAAGCAATCGAAGTGGTGCCTTCGCCAGCCGGCGAATATAGTGAAAACCATAAGGGAGTGCAATCGAACAGGATATACGAAGAAAGCCAGGATATACGAGGCACAAGCAAAGGACCCAGTGAACGCGGCAAAAAAACGATGCAAATGTTGCGAATGATGAACAACTATCGCGAATCTCGCCATTGCGCATAAGTGGCTGAGTGTGCGTTGGCTGCCTGCGTGCGTGTGTGTGCGTGTGTGTGTGTGTGTATATCCTGCCTTCACATATTTTTTTTTGTGTGTGCGTAAGTGTGTGACTGTGTGTGTGTGCGAACACTTTTCATTGTTATCCTCCCGGCCACATTTCTCCGCATCCGCATCCTCCTCCGCCGAAACTCCAGCGACGTGGCCGAGTACGTCGATGTCGCGGGGGGCGGGGGCAGCGGCAGCGGGAGCGGCGGCGGTACCGCCAGCGTCACCGCTCCGCTGCGCAGTGGCCGTCGCCAGCCGTCGAGCAGCAGCGCCAGCAGCAGCAGCAATCGCAGTCGCAGCGGTCTGTATATCGACATACATATAAATTATATTGTATTTATTATTTATTTATTTTGTGGCCACGGCTTATATACACACTGTATGTGGGGCACTGCGCATCGCATCTCTTGGCCAACTCTTACTTGTTGCATGCGAAAGTGGCCGAGAGGCAACGACTTCTGGTGCCAAGTTCAGACACCCAAACAAACGTTTCCCCACTTCCCACTAAATCTCAAAAAATTATGTGCTTAAATATATTCTTCAGCATTTTTTTAAACATAGCTTTAATAAGACGTTAATCACAGATTTCACTTCCCACAAAATCCCAAAAAAATATTGTTTTTAAATATATTCTTCAGCATTTCTTTAAACAAAGCTTTAATAAGACGTTACTCACATATATTTTGAGATTTTAATCGCGGTTCCAAGTCCAAGTTAATTTGCTTACATTCTTAACCATTTTTACCTATTTATCATATTATTTTTGGTGTTTCTAAAAACAGATATTATTATCAACAACAAAAGTAGTTTAATTTCCAATAAATTTCCTCCAAAGCTAAAATAATAGTTTATGTTATCGAAACGACAAAGATTTAAAGGCAAATTTATCAGGGCTTTTAAAACCAAATTCAGACACAAAGAAAAACGTGCCCTTAATTCGATTTTCCTAACCAAGTTCACATTATTTATATTCTTAGACGAAACTTGGTCACATAATTATAATTAATTTTGAGACATTAGGCACAAATTTTACATCAAAAAATATTTTCTTATATTATGGATTGCATTGTTTTCTCATCAGTGCTAAATGAACTCGTGAACTCTTGCCTGGAGTTCAAGAACTTATCAATTTTCCGAGAATTTTCCGAGAAATTGGCAATTGAATGCCAGAGGAGTTTTCCTTTTTTGGCAGCCGCACAAGGCGCCACGCCCCCTCCTTGGCCTTACCGCCCATCGAATGGCTTTTAATGAATGAAAGTGCACTGTCTGTGTGTGTGTGTGTGTGTGTGAGTGTGAGTGTGCTGGTATTTGTAAGTATATGTGTGACAGTCGGGAAAATGAATGAGTGCTGACTTTGCAGCTCTCTCTGTCGCTCTGCCGCCTGTGTTATGAATGAAATGTGAATCGAGTTTGATACTGATGCAGCAACAACGGCAACATTGGCCACTTTCCCATTCCCAGAGGGGGTAACACCCACCCCCCTCACCCCCCCGGCCAAGCCATTTGGCGCATTTCCCAGCTCCAAGTGCAACAAGTTTTCCTACGCGATGGCCAGCGAAAAACTTTGGTCGCATTGAAATGCAAAATTTATTGATTAAACCTGTTGCCAGACGGGCGACATCCAAAGCAAAAAAAAAGCAAGCAAGGTCAGAGGGCTAAAACATGACCTGCGGCACAATTTAAAACTATTTTTAAAGTGAGCCAAAACTAATTAGTATTACTATAAAAATAAAACAAGCAAAATGGAAAGGACTAAAGAACTGATATTGACGAGTACTGCTGCTCCTTCCAATTTTATACAAAATATTTGCAAAGCAAAGAACAATTATTCTTGCTTATATTGATTTTGTCTCTACAATGGTTATATTAAATAACTAAAATTAACCTAGATATTATATGATATACCAACTACAGCCAATAATCACAAAATATTGTTCTTTTTGTTGCTGTTGCTTATTTATATCGACTAATTTCAACGTAGAAATTAAATAATATACCTCAGTGGATAAATACAATACAACTTTAGAATTCCAAGTTTAAATAAAAGACTATTATTTGCTGATTAATTAGTTTATGGCAACCGAGTCAGAATCAGAAAATCTCATTCAAAGTGCTTCAGCTTAAGCACTTTGAAAACTACGATCCCGTATGCTCGCCAATTAAGACCAATTGATGTCCTGGAAAGGATTTACGGCAAGTGGCTGCTGCATGTCCTGCTGCCCTTTGTTCGCTCACTAATTAATATTGAGTGTGAGCTCAGCAGGAGTAAAAATGTTCAAGCACTTGATTCAATTTAAGCAATTAGTCCTTGGTTGGCTATTGCCAAACAGACAGAGTAATTTCATTTGTCTGCCCAGGATGCTATTATCCTGGACACGTTTAAATTCAAAATGCTGTTGCATTGTCTGTTTTGCAACGGCAAGCCAATGTGTCGCTTAAATGCGATATGCACGACTATCCAATCCATTAGGTCGCAGTTCATCAAAGGACGCCCCCCCAAAAGGATTATCACGAACAATTGCCGGACTGTAGTCCAATTAGTATCTCAACTGCCTATCGATTGCATTCATTTTTTTTTTTATTTGCGTTTTTACGATACACACGAAGGAGCAGGGCAAACAAGCCGGTTCAGAGGTCATTGTTGTGCCACGAAATTAATGTTAATTTATGGACAAAAAAGGGGACAATTTTATTACCAAATTCGGATCGATGGAAGTGCCACGTCACTATGCCCCTCGAATGCCCAGCAGTAAATCACCATTAAATTCCATTTTACATAGAAAACTAATGATGTAGAAAGAACTCGCTCAGTACTTTTAACTTAATTATAATAACCACTAAATAAAATTAGCGTCAGAGTGGCTTTTATTTTTGTAACGCTTTATTTATTACAATTGGAAGTAGTTTTTTATATGAACTTAAATAAACACATTCAAATAGGGACTTTATTATGCGTGCTCAAATTCATTAATTCCATTATTGAATTACCTCTTTCTACTCAATACATTTTTTTAGGTAAATGGTTGGGGATTAAACACTTTTTATAACATATTCAACTTATTCTGAAATTCGGTTGTACTATAAGGTATAGAGTAAAATAATTGTAAAACCATAAAGTAAATAAGTGCAAAGGGAAAACCGTTAGATAAAATTATTAAATCTTTTATATTCCATGTTTAAGTATGAATATAAAATGTTTGTTTTATGAACATTATTATCATGTTCTGCAAATTTTGTTGTCACAATTATTTCATTGTTTAAAAATCAGCTGCCTTAATCAGTTTTAACACTACGAAACGCACTGTCCCAGATCTCACCTCTCGCCAAGGTCGACCTGCGGCTTTTCTCCTCGAATTTATTCTTATGAACGCATCAATAATGGCACAAAGAAATTTTTGGCGCCTAATTGATTGTCCGGACACGAGTGATTTATCGTCGAATTAAAGTCATCGCGATGAAGGTCGAAAACAAGATGTATTTGTGTTCGCGAAAAAGTGTTGCATATGCCAGGGCGATTTCCCCGGGGGATCCCCGAAAGAAAAGTTTAGTGACGGAGGGTTATTTGAGATCCCCTGATTGATGGGCTGACCTAATGGCCGTGTGCCCCTCTCATAAAACAGTTCGTAATCGAAGGAATTAGCAAACGCCGCCGCCACCCGCCAATCGATTCGAAACTGGCAACTGGAAAGTTTTCAAATCGGCCATAAAATGCAAATTGTTATGGGGGATAGGGCCAAATAAAATACTTGGATACCTGCCGAAGATGATGGACTCACAATCGCCACCTGAACAGTCCCAAAAAGTGGGCGTGGCCGGCCACCGCACAAATGTATAATGCCATTAACAGCTGTCACTTTCGGGCTGTTGAAATATTTGACAGTCAAACACGAGTGTCGCATAAAAAGTGGCGAACAAAAAATAAGAAAGAAAAAAAATAACGAAAACCGAAAATAACAAGGAGCCCATAAAGCGACGAAGACAACGAGGCGAAGGACATAGAAATGATAATAATAATAATAATAATAATAATATTGAGACAGCATTTTAGTTTCGTGGTAATGGCTCGCGTTTATTTGCCAAACAAGATGGTTGTCAATTGTTGTTGTTCCCTCGCCGTCTGTTCCTTGTTATTCCATCGCTTTCTCCGCCACTTTCTCCACGCGATTGTGTGTGTGTGTGTGTGTGCGTTGTCGAGGAGTATCCAAATTGCGACACCGCCTGCTGGAGCCTTTCGTCAATCATACGCACCGTTGTACGCATTACAACCCCCTGGACGCCACAGGCTATAAGTCAGCCTAATGCCGCAGGAAATCAATATCGTCTTCGCCTAAGAAAAGCTCCATGTCCTGCGCTAAACTCTGGCCACTGGGAAAGCTCTGGCTGCCATTAAGGGTTAGGGTATGGGTTCGATTGTCGGTTTTTCGGGGCAAACTGTCAGGCCGTCCACGAACTCGCTCAATCAGCAGCCAGGATAAG